AAAAATAAATAAATAAATAAAACAAAGGTATAAAAAATTTTAAAAAAACTAATGAGATATACTGGGCCTTTAGGAGTAAAATAACTGAGATTGTCACATTTAATTTTATAAGAAAAGCTTACATTAATGTGCAAACTGGATATTTTCTGATGATTCACTGCAAATATCCTCAAGTAGGCCAACATCTTGATCCTCTGTTATTCTCTGAAAAAAATATACAAAATCATAAAACTAAATTTATATATTACAAGTCTGTAAGACATATAAGTCTTATATAAGGTAAAAATGTATTACTCTTAGAAAACAGGAATGATTTTAGGTATCAAAAACTCAATGTATCATTCAAAAATTAAAATTCTGACTAAATATGAGAAGATTCTTTTTTTTAATTTTTATTTATTTACTTATTTGTTCTGATTTGTTATACATGACAGCAGAATACATTTCAGTTCATAGTACACAAATGGAGAACAATTTTTCATTTCCCTGATTGTACACAAAGTAGAGTCACACCATTGTTGTCTTCATACATGTACTTCGGTAATGATGTCCATCTCATTCCACCACCTTTCCTACTCCCATGACCCCTCCCTCTCCTTTGCCCTAGCCAGAGTTCCTCCATTCCTCCCAAAGTTCCTCCATTCCTCCCACCCTCATTATAGAAAAATAAGATTTCTTTAAACATTTATTTTTTAGAAGTGGTTGGGCACAATACCTTTATTTTATTTATCCCAGCCCTTCATTTATTTATTTTTATGTGGTGCTAAGGATTGAACACAGGGCCTCACACGTGCTAGATGAGCGCTCTACCGCTGAGCCACAACTCCAGCCAGAGAAATAAGATTCTTAAACTTAAAATGATCTTTATTTTTTCACACACTTTAATTCTTAAGGAAAGATATGGAGATATTATTGAAATCCATTTATTGAAATTGCAAAAACACCATACCAACCAAAGTACATTTTTATGTAAATATACAGAATGAAGTATAAAAATAATTTGTACCCACCCCTGCCTAGGAGAAACTGGCAATTATTTTGCTTTCCAAAGACTAGGAGGCACTACTGGAATCTAGTGGGTAGAGGCCTATTATTCCAGTAGATAGATGCTGCTAAATATCCTACAATCAGCAGGGCAGTCTCCTTTGACTTAAGAATTATATGCTCCAAAAATGTCAATTGTGTCAAAGCTGAGAAACCTTGCAAATCAATGATTCCCAAACTATTCACTGGGTACAGTGGCACACTCCTGTAATCCCAGCTATGAGAGGCTGAGGTAGTAGGATCACAAGCTCAAGACCAGCCTTGGTAACTCAGCAAGACCCTATCAAAAATTCAACATTAAAAAGGGCTGGACTAATTAGAACAAATTATATACGTTTTTCCTTTTTTCAAAAAGGGCTGGGATGTAGCTCAGTGGTAGAGAGCTTGTCTAGCATGCTTGAGGCCCCAGGTCCAAATCCCAGTATCACAAAATCCTGCAATTTAGGAACCCCTAAGATTCCTAAGACTTTTCAAAGGTCAAAACTATTTTCATTATAATGCCAAAAGACTGGTCTTTCAGGGAGCTGGGGCTATAGCTCAGTGACAGAGCACTTGCCTAGCATGTGGGAGGCACTGGGTTCGATCCTCAGCACCACATAAAATAAATAAATAAAATAAAAGTAAAAAAAGAAAAAGATTGGTCTTTTCACAGTGTTGACATTTGCACTGGTTATGAAATGGGTAAAACAGGGACACCTTGGTATGAATCTAGGCACTGGCAGCAAAATATACTACTAGTCATTATATTCTTCACCATGAAACAATCGGCTTTTTAAAAAAGTAGCAATAGTGCACTCGCCTGGCATGCGCAGGGTTCTGGGTTTGATCCTCAGCACCGCATAAAAATAAAATAAAGATGTTGTATCCACTGAAAACTAAAAAAAATAAATATTAAAAATTCTATCTCTCTCTTTAAAAAAATAAATAAATAAAAATAAAAGTTTCAATTAAGAATATCCTTAATGAGGCAGTAAAAATTCTTAATTTTATTATATCTCAACCCTTGAAAACACACTCAAGGGTACCTATTTGATAGGGAAATCAAATAGGATGCATAAAATGCAGTTGCAAGCTGCATTTGCTAATTTTTTTTCATTGAACACCATTTATTCAAAAACATATGTTATTCAAACTTGGATATTTTGTAGACTTTTTCTTTAAAATGATAATTCACTTCAAAGAAAGCAATTAATAGTATTCACTGCCAGTGATCAAGTTCAAGCTTTCAAATGATATCAGAACCTTGAAAAACTGGCATCTGTCACTGTAGGCTTGACAGCCTAACTTAAAAGATATTCATGAAGAAATCAATGGTGATACTAATGAATTGATTTTTTTGATATGACTTAATGATATGTGTATTTGGAAGGTTTCATAACTCAGTAAATAGAGATTTCCCAATCAATACATTGTTTCCAAAATCATGCTTGAATAAAAGATCTATTCTAAAATACAACAGACACAAATACAAAAGAGCACAAAAGATTCACTAATATAATTTGATTCTATATTGTAACTAATCTTTATGAAACTATCATTTGTCAAAGTCTGAAATAGTATCAAAGATGTCCACAATTTTTTGCAAAGGCCATTAAAATACTCATCTTTTCCAACCATACATCAATATCATTATATGCTTTTGATCACCACAATTTCAAGACTGGGTATCTACTATATACTTTTGGTAGACTTAACAAAATAGTGATGAAATCCAATTTGATTACTGACACATATACAGGAAATACTGTTTTTTAAAAATATTTTTAGTTATAGACAGGCAAATACCTTTATTTCATTCATTCATTCATTCATTCATTCATTTTGAACTCAGGGCACTTGACCACTGAGCCACATCCCAGCCCTTCATTTATGTATTTTTATGTGGTGCTCAAAATCGAACCCAGTGCTTCACAAGAGCTAGGGAAGCGCTCTACCACTGAGCTCCAACCCCAGCCCCAGGAAATAGTTTTTTAAGAGAACATTTTGCTAGCATTGATTTGTTTGGCCCATTTTTATCCCACAATAATAGATGAAAGTAAGAACAAATGATAAACAACATAGCCATATCTTTGCCTTCCCTATTTTATACAAATCAAGGAGTGCTAATTGCTCAACCTTTTAAAACTTCACTTACTTTCTCCTCCTGATTCAGAAAGAAAAAGGTAATTAATGATTTAGGAAATTATAAATGAAAACATATATTAATTTAAACCAACTGATTAAATTTTCCACAATCTAATAAAAGAACTATAACAACAGAAAACAATAAGGATAAATTTCAAATGTTAGAGGAAAAAAATCTATAAAAACTTATCCCATCTGGTTTCAATTTTGTCAAGAATATATAGGTAAAACTAATCCATTATGTTAGAAGTCAGGATAGTGTTTACTCTTGGGAGTGCTAATAACCAGAAAGAAGGAAGAGGTAGGCTCTGGGACACAAGTTAAAGTAATTTCTTGATCTGGGTGCCGCCTACACTAATATGTTCGGGTTTTAAAAACCCACTGAAATGTTCATATACAGTATATGCATTTTTCCACATTGTTACACTACAAAAGTCTTACCAAAAAAAAAAAAAAAGATTGAAACTAGATTTAGAATCAGAGATATTGCTGGAGTCCCAAGTCTTCTGAAATCTTGGATAAATCACTTAAAATCTCTGCACTTCAGTATTTCACAAAGCACACCACAGGATTTGGCCTAAGAATTCTTATTCAATAAGAACTGTCTATCTTTGCCTTCTAGGTGTTGGGGTTAAAGCAATGAACAAAAGCAAATAAGCTGTGTCTTCATACTGCCCCTACTGTACTCAAGGGATGCAGATAAACAAGAGAATAAATAAAATACACAGTATTTTCTATGGTGATAGGTGGAATTAAGCAAGATAAGGGAACTGGGGCACAACTGTAAGGTCAAGAAAGTTCTTACTAAAATGATGACATTTAAGCAAAGACCTAAAGTAGGTAAGGAAGGCAATGGGAAGGGGAGCATATTCAAAGTAGAGGATTAAATAATTTATTGCACGTGAAAATACACTTAAGCTACTTAGTATTAGGTCTGTTTTAAAGTAAGATTCCATTAAGAAGATGGAGCCTTACATCCAAAGCACTGTTTTAATGAAATGAATACTCTCCTTTGATACAGTTATTTTTCCTCCAATAAATGAAAAAGGTTTCAAACTATAGGGTAATTAAGAGAACTTCGGTGCAAAATAAAAAGGTAAAACTAACAACGTTCTTAAATGTACTTTCTTGTGAATTATTTCCCTGGTGTTACTGAAGGGGCACTGCAAAGCCAGTCCACCCAGGTCTTCCTCCAATGCACCAAAAGGTCTCAGAAAATTCTGGAATTAGTCCTGAAATTCCAGAAAACTAATAGTCTATTTCTTTTCTGGCAGTTGATAAACTCCAATAATTTTACTTTCCCATACAATAAACTTTCATTCTTCTATCTTCTATATCCTTAATTGTACATACATTATAATGATAGGAGGAAACATCAGTCATCCTCGCTGAAGAATAGAGGAAAAAATGTCCATAAATGAGGAGAAATCTAGGAGCAGTGGGCAAGAAGCCCTGCCGTCCATCTCTGTGGCTGGCTCCGTCAGAAGCAGCCTGGAAGGTCAGCAGTGCCCAGCGCCGGGCAGGGTCACAGACACACGTAGTCTCTCGGGGCGGTACCCACCTTGCACTCAGTCGTGCACTAGAGGCCAGCTTCTTTTCGAAAGGTTGTAAGGAGCAAGAGGCACCGACTACTTTGAAGTCTGCAATGGCCCCACGTTTCAACCAACTCAGCGTCCACCCTCTTACCAACCAGAGAACCTAGATTCCTATCTTACGGACTCCTCAGGCAGCTTCTCTTCGGCACTTCCGGCGGTGCATCAACCAAATACCTCCTACCAGCAAGTTCCGCCCTTCTTGTTTAAAGTGAAGAGAGGCTCGGAACGGTTACGCCACGCGTACTCTTCACTCGGCAGTTTTGAAGGGTAGCTCTTTCCGGTTCCGCACTGCGCGGAGTAGGCTTTTGGGTCTTGGGTACCCGAAGATTGAGAGCTTCTACTCACCCCGGAGACTGCACCCGGCAGCTCTGCGGCTATCATCATGGTAAGAAGTTGTCTCTGGCGCTCGCGGCATAAGGCATTTGAGTAAGTGGAGCCTCGGAGCCCACGGTAATGGAGCGGGGAGGGAGAAGTGGCAGGCGGAGACGTAATGCTGCTTTAAGGGAAGAGGGGTAGCCTCGGCGGAGTAAGCTCCAGGGAAAGAAACTTTACCTTTGAGAAATAGTGAAGTATTGGCCAGAATACGAGTCTTGGAGAGAAATAGATTTCATTCTGTTAAATTCCTGGTTTCAACACATGTGTGGTCACCAGTGCCAGAGCCCATTAGGAATGTGGTTGAGCCTTGTGTTAAAACTCCACGGTAGGTATTAATCGCGCCATCCCATTTTGTTGCTGAGGAAACCGATGGGTCCTTGTCAAAGGCTAGATGGCGAATGAACTACGGAGCTGGGTTTAACTGCCAAATCATTTCTCTTTCGACTGCATCTCTGTTTAAAATGAAATTCCTCATCCTTCCCTGTTTATGCAAAGTTTATGTGATAGCAGTTGAAAACAATACTTTGTTAACTTAAATTTGTTCTCTGAGCTGGAATTGGCTTTGCATCATTATTTTTTCAGTCTTAAAATCCAGATGGACTCTGGCTATGTGTTTAAAACAACTGTTGTTTAAAATGCAAAATTGAGCCCATATATAACTCCCAAGCAACTTTGGTAAACAGTCTAGCAGTCGACAGATGTCACACAAGACCAGCATATAACTGTTTATTAAACTATTCCTGATTAGCAAAAATTGTGAACAATTCGAACATCCATCATCTGGTCATTGAATAAACAAATGGTGTTTCATTCATACAATGGAATAGTATTTAGCAATAAAAGAGTTTGAAAAACTGATACAAGGTGAATGAATCCCAAAATTCTTATTCTGATTGAAAGAGGCCAGATTCAGGAATTTCCCCTTTATGTATATGTAGAAAATACCAATCAAAAATAAATAAATAAAGGTGTGAAAGGAAGATCAGTAAAGAGAAAGTGGGGAGAGAGGAAAAGAGGGTGAAGGGGGACTGAAATCAAATTCCTTGTATCCATTAGCACTCTGTTCCAGGAAAGGCAAAACGCTAGAAATAGATATCAGATTGGGGGTTAGGAAAGGGGATTGATTTCAAAGTAATACAAAGGGAACTTTTGAGGGTGATGAAAAAAATTCGTTATCTTTATTACAGTGATTACAGAACTGAATAATTGCTCAAAACCTGGAACTGTACACCTACACCTAAAAAGGGCAAGTTTATGGTGTTAATGGACCAAATTTTTAAAATAAAAAGTACAAAATAATGGTAATGTTATTGAATTCACAGATTACCTATGTCAGAGAAAAACCAATAGAAAATCATGTTGTCAGCTCATCTTTTTAGTGGTCCAGTGTGTTTTGGACAGTTCCCTTCAGTGAACAGTAATTGTCACTGAGATTATTACAGATGTAAATTCTACTTCTTATCATCTAAGATAAATTTATTTAACTTACATCATGTAGATAAACTTAATAATACCAGAGTCACTTACACAAGAACATTTGGATGATATGACATCATGTGTACTTTATGTACTGTAAAATAATTTTGGAGTAATCTTGTCATTACTTTAAAAAATTAACTTTTCTTGCATACTTATAGCCACAAAATGAATACATTGAATTACACCGTAAACGTTATGGATACCGTTTGGATTACCATGAGAAAAAGAGAAAGAAGGAAAGTCGAGAGGCTCATGAACGTTCAAAGAAGGCAAAAAAAATGATTGGCCTGAAGGCTAAGCTCTACCATAAACAGCGCCATGCTGAGAAAATACAAATGAAAAAGACGTAAGTGAACCCATTTATTTCTTATTACAAGTTAATATTCTTTGGATAATAGTCATTAAACAGATAATTTTGAATATATTTCTTTCTTGATAGTATTAAGATGCATGAAAAGAGAAACACCAAACAAAAGAATGATGAAAAGACTCCACAGGGAGCAGTGCCTGCCTATCTCCTGGACAGAGAAGGACAGACTAGAGCAAAAGTACTTTCCAACATGATTAAACAAAAGCGAAAAGAAAAGGCGGTAAGCAATAAATATTTAAGTCTCTATTTCTTTTTTGTTCAGGAGAATTACTTAAATTTGAAGTTCTTAGTTTATTTTTTCAGTTTAATTTGAAACATGAAGGGAAAGTATGATTACCATTATTTAGATATTAAAAGTCTTTAAAAATTTTGTAAATTTCATTTTATATTTAAAAATTGATTTATCACCGGCTTTTAGATATTAATGATTTTTTAAAATGTATTACAATGTCATATCTTTCGTGTTAAAAAATTAAGCAAATAATGAGTAAATCTAAAATTCAATATTTAATGACTTCCTGTACTTGAAAGCTCCTAATGCTATGCTCCTGTAGAGTAAACACAACTACTTTTGGTTTTATTGCTCTGCAGTGCCAGCACAGGTTCAAATGGAAAATAATTACAAATTCCCTAAATAATTTGATTTCAATAAAAATTCAGATTACTTTTGCCATAGAAACATAAAATTCTGTGAAAGGGGGCATAGATATTTTTAAATGTGAAATGTGTTGACAGAAACCCAAGAATATGCAGTATCTGTATTAGAAGAGTTTGTAGTCTCCAGACTTGATTTTTTAATTCTTACTGCCTTATTTTTTTTTTTTTTTTGGATTTATAAATATCCAAAACTAGAATGGCATGACTTTAACAGTGAAAGAAACTTTAGTGGTTATCTGCTTAAAGTTTTTCATTTTATAGATAAAGAAACTGGATTCCAAAAGATGATAAATCATTCTTCATGGTCACTTAACTATAAAATGGTAGAGCTGCTCCTAGAACCTGTCCATGTCTCAGAAATAAGTCCAAAATTCTTTACGCTGCCTTATACTGCTACAGTGTGTGTTATATAATTTTTTATATATTTAGTGTGTGCATGTTAATGTATATGTATGTTTATACACATGCACATAAATTTGTATTCTAAGGAGATATAAAACATCTAGTGAAGGACTTTTATCTCACTAGAATTGTACAATCTAAATATCCATTTGCAGTAGAAATGTAAAGATACATTAAGTGGAAACAGTCTTCCAGTTTTACAAACTACTAGTAATGCATATAGGCTCTATAGAAGTCACTACTTTATTACAGATGGTATTTTTTACCCATAACAGGGCATTAAGATTTTTAGCTTAAACAAACCAATTATTTAACATACCCATGAATACAGACTTAAAAAACAACTGAACCATAGACGAATGGTTAAGGAAAAAAGTGAATCTACAGCTCTGAACAACTAAAAACATATTTAAGCTATAATCTTTTACTTACAATACAAATTTTAACTCCGGTATATCATTAGGGAAAATGGGAAGTCCCCCTTCCCAAGGTTCGTGCCCAGGGAGAAACAGAAGTATTAAAAGTGATTCGAACAGGAAAGAGAAAAAAGAAGGCCTGGAAGAGGATGGTTACTAAAGTCTGCTTTGTTGGAGATGGCTTTACAAGAAAACCACCTAAATATGAAAGATTCATTAGGCCAATGGTAAGTCCTTTGCAAGGGTGTAGTCATTAGTCCTTGTTAAACTGGATAAAGTATATTACAACTTCCTGAAATTCCTAAAATTTGTTTGAAAAACAGGTTAAAAGATGTTTTTATGCTATTTTTGTTACTCTGAGAGTGGTTACTTAGCACTTTTTCCACTATAATCAACAATCTTGTCTTTAACTTCATAAATGGAGATTTCAAGTGAAAAAGAATTTTCATAATAGATATCTTTATTGAATTCCTTGAAACATGATATATTAGAACTTTCTCTATCCACACAGTTACACTCTACTCATTCAATAAGTGATTATTATATGTCTGACACTGCTAGGCCTCAAACACATCTTTAAGATCAGTTAGAAAATTTGAGGACAGTTTTGAGTCACTTCTGGTTTAGTAAGGGAAATATAATAATGCTTTTGAAAGCATTCAGTATGTAATCATTATAAAAAGAGAAGAGGAGTAGGTAGGGGTGAGGCTCAGTAGTAGAGCACTTGGTAGCATGTTCCCCAGCACTGCAAAAAGAGATCAAAAAAAAAAAAATACATTGTGCTTGGCATCCCCAGCACCACGAAGTAAAATTTAATTTAATTTTTATTAGCTAATATTTCTTACTTCTTTTTTTTCCTCCCTCTTCAGGGAAATATGCCCAAGTTACCAATAATCCTGAAAGTGATGGATGCCTAAATGCGGTCTTACTGGTTTTACAACAGTTTTACACTCCTTAAAATTATTATAAGACTACAAATCAATCAAGACTACAAACTACGACTACCATTAGTAGTAGTTTCTGAATACTACCATATAATATAGCTATAAAAGTAGCTTTATTATGATGTCAGTGATGTTAATATGCCCCCAAACTAATCATCATCTGCCCACCCCTGCTTCAGGAAAAATATAATTGAATATATTTTTGTAAAATGCCTTGAAAACCAGCCTGCTTAAAACAAGGAATCAGAAAGCTAGTATTAATTCTTGCTCAGGGTGATTGTTTAATGGATTAAATAAAATACTGGCAGTCTGTTTATGTAAATTAAGTCTTACTGGGTTTTTTTTGTTTATTTTGTTTTGTGGTGCTGGGAATTAAACCCAAGGCCTTGTGCATGCAAGGCAAGCATTCTACCAACTGAGCTATATCCCCAGCCCTAAACTAAGTCTTAATGGAACACAGTCACGCCTGTTTGTGTATACATTGCATACCCACCCTACCCTTGAAGAGTTGCAAGAGACTATATGACTTGAAAAGCCTAAAATGTTTACTGTTACTTTATTCATCTACTTTTGGATTATATCATCAACTACCCTTGTTTTCAATTTCATATTAAAAATTTTCTGAATGTTTTGGTAACATGAGTTCAGTAGGGAGACACTGTACTAGTCAGGCTGTTCTTATAAGTATATTTAAAGAATCTATTACTAAGAACCTGATTTAATATCATCCCTTCCCACCATATAGGTAAAAATAAAGACTACAAAGTATGGTGACATAAGTACTACACTCCAAAAGATCCTATCTAGATGGCTGGGTGGTTCCATATTTGTAACAAAGCCTCTCTGGGTGCTCTCCACTCTTGTAACTGTTATCATTGAAGAAAACTGACAGTCCACCCCTTTTTGTATCATGCATGGTAGCTAAAGTATATGGAGACTTACAATTGGGACATTTACATTTGATTGATTTCATTTATCTCCCTTTCCATCATTTGATCAGGTTTCTTTTTTTTGTACTGGGATTGAACTCAGGGGCACTCGACCCCTGAACCACATCCCCAGCCCTTTTAGTATTTTATTTAGAGACAGAGTCTCACTGAGTTGCTTAGTGCCTTGCTTTTGCTGAGGCTAGCTTTGAACTTGGGATCCTCCTGTCTCAGCCTCCTGAGCCACTGGGATTACAGGCCTCCTCCACCACGCCCAGCTCATTTAATCAGGAAAGGAGTCATTAAGATTGCTGACCCTTGTTTCATCATTTAACAGAAAGAAAGGAGGGGCATATGGTAAGGTTATCATGTATCATCAGCTCTAGCATTGTGCTTGGCATGTACCAAATTTTCAATAAGTGCAGATGACTAGACAAAGTCAAAATAGGAGTATTTTTCTAGGTAACTGTTACATAGTAAAAACTTTGCAGGAGTATATATGTAGGATTTTTCTTCACATTTATCCTGTTAATTTTTTAGTCATTAGAAATAATAGTATTTTATTTGAAAGGTTGAAAGATTTGACATTTATTGAACCAATGATTAATTTATTTATTTTAATTAGTTATATATGACAGCAGAATGCATTTTGATTCATTGTACACAATTGCAGCAAAACTTTTTCTATGATTGTACATGATGTAGCATCACACCATATGTGCAGTCATACATGTACCTAGGGTAATGATGTCCATCTCATTCCACCATCTTTCCTGCCCCCATGCACCCTTCTTCCCCTTTGCTTGAACCAATGATTCTTTGATGGTGCAAAAGATAAGTAAAAAGGACTACTACTCATTAACATTTTGGACTCATAGCTTATGTTTGCTTACTAGGGCTTACGTTTCAAGAAGGCCCATGTAACACATCCTGAACTGAAAGCCACGTTTTGCCTACCAATACTTGGTGTGAAAAAGAATCCGTCATCCCCACTGTATACAACTTTGGGTGTTATTACCAAAGGTACAGTCATTGAGGTGAATGTCAGCGAGTTGGGCCTTGTAACACAAGGAGGCAAAGTGATTTGGGGTAAGTCAATTTTTTAATATGGAGCTATTGGTGTTCTACAGTCCTAATAGAAATACATTTCAAGTTGATAGTACACAGCACACATTTTTAATGTGGAAGAGCTATGTGAGCTAAAACTTTATGTAAATCTTTAGGAACACTACTTTATAGAGCAAGTTATGCTGCACTTTTTAAAATTGAGCTTATTGGTTTCATTTAAATAAGGGGTAATTTGTCATGCAGCAATTTTAAACTCTTTTTAGTGCTTAAAGTACCTTTAAACTGTGATGTTCTTCAAAAGGGAAGAATATACCTGAAATTCTTGTAATTGGTTCATAATTCATGTTGGCAACTAATCTCAACATGGTGCATTTTTAAGGAAGAGTCAGAAAAGTAGAGGCGTATTAATGCAATGAACTAATAGAATAGAGCCAATTACTATTTATAAATAAATAAATAGATGGATGATAGATGGATGGATGAATGAATGAAATATCCATTGACAACTAAAAAAATATTTTGTAAGAAAATTATATTCAGAACACAGCTTGGTCTTGAATGACTTAAAAATCTTATTCTGTTCATATTTAATAAAAGTGGTTATTAGACATATTTTAGGAATATTATAATTAAGAGTTTAATTTTATATTTTTTTAAATTTGGGGGCTAGGATATAACTCAGTGTTAGAGCAATTGCCCAGCATATACAAGGCCCTGGGTTTGATCCCCAGCACCACGAAGTGAAATTATATTTAATTTTTATTAGCTAACATTTCTCACATCTTTTTTTTTTCTCCCCATCAGGGAAATATGCCCAGGTTACCAATAATCCTGAAAATGACGGATGCATAAATGCGGTCTTACTTGTTTGACAACAGTTTTACACTCCTTGGAATTATTATAAGACTACAAATCAATCAGGAAAACCACCATTACTGCACAGTGATGGTTCTGAATACTACCAAACAGCCTTACGTATCTGCAGTCATTAAGAACTATATATTAAACTGTTTAAAAAAAAAAAAAAACATTAAAATGAGGGAGTTTGCAGGTTGTTCTTTATTTGGGGGTTTATGTTAAGGGTTTACATGTTTTTAAGATTCAACAATTGAAAAAGCAAACCCATAAATACCAGTATCTGCATTAAAGAGTGGATATTCAGCAATGCAGATCTGTCATTTCGGAAAAAACCACCAGTATAACTGAAAAAATATCTAAGAGAAAAACAGGCTATACAATGTAGAAAAAATTCAGACCTCTTAGATAAATCTTTTCAGTGATCTTGTTCAGTAAGTAAATTAACATACTTTTTTATGTTAGCATTTTCTATATTCTGTATATATGCTTGTGCTTTCAGAATGGTACTAAAAATTTTGGATAATTCCACTTAGTTTTCATTAATGCCCCAAAGAGAAAATTATTTGCAATTAATTGGTTAATGTAAATAAAAAGGTCATGTTTTAGGGTTCTAATTCAATTCCGTGGTTTGAATTACATGGTCATGACTCTAAGCTTTAGGGTGTCTATATACTACATTAATCACCACAACATTTTAAATTCTGTTTTATTTTTAAGTCTGCAAAGTACAGCCAATAGTGATTATTTCTTTAACAAAATAACTGAATATCTAAACAAATTCAGTATCTAAACACATTTTCATGAATGAAAGTAGGGGTAAAGTGAAAGAATTTTAAAACAGACCAGAAAACAATCACAAAATATATTAATAACTATTTTCAAACTTTAAAAAAAAAAACAAGTATTCTGTAAGACTTGCTATTCTGAATAATGTTTCATTTTTCCTAAGTTCTATAAACGTAATCGAAGTTCTAGAACACATAGGAAAAGTTCCATGTAAATGATGGTTCAGTACAATAGAATCATTTGATAGAAGCTGAACCCTTCTTAAATTAGAATTTAACAAATGATTTTGCCACTAATAAAAATGGGTAATGTGTGAATTAAGTTCTAGAAGAGGGAAAAAATTAACTTTAGGTAATAACTGAATACTACAGAAAGGACGTTTGCTCAATTTTTAGACCCAAATTAAACAAATTATCTTGTAAAAAAGAGGTTTGATACTCAGTATGAAAACAAGCATAACATTTGTAATAAATCACCTGTGAAAAGACTGGATCACATCTGAAACACCATGTTGCTACTAGTGGACATACAAGGCAGAAATCTGTTTCTAAAATATTGTTACACAGATGAGTAGTGTCAGTATAAATTCTTTATTTACATTAAAATCTTGCAGTTTGCTGGTGTGACCTAACCTTAGAAGATAACCCCCAAGGATAAAGTGGAACATAAGAGCAGATAATTTAGATATTAGGTAAAGACTCAATCATAAACCTTCAAGACACTTTTTATAAAGTCACTAAAACCATTTTAAATAGTGTTACAGTAATCTGCTAAAAGCAAACCATTAATAACTAGATGTTATCTTTACCATCTCTGCACTGTATGGAAACACCATGAATATAAACACATTTTAAGTCATGCTGTTTGATTTTATAAAAAAATCGTAATAGAGCCTCTCACCTTTAAAAGTTGTAGAGGAGCTTTGTTAATTTTTAAATATACTAATTTCTGTGAGGTCTAGCAATTGAATAATTTATACTTGAAAGAACTAAAATTTTGCTAATAACCATCTGCTTTATATTACACAAGGAAATATATACGTATATACACAAAAGTCGATTCCTTTCTTGGCAGACATCTGAATAGAAAATAGCAGTTCACAAAGGACTATGTAGAAAGTGACTGAACACTCAACAACTAGACTAGCTGGTTGAAATCACATTATAGTCTACTGTAATTTTGAAAGTTTTTCTAATGTGTTACAAAAACTACAAGTATCTGATTAAGTTTATTTAGAATCTCTATTCAGGATAAATTGTTATAAACTGTATATATCAACATAAATTACTAAACAAGAAAAGTTAGGTTTCTCCATGTGATCTAACTTTTTGCTCTATGATCTATAACCCAAAAATAACATTTTCTAACTACCATAGATATAATAACATTTTCTCATGTGCTGAGCAAAGTTTTGAACAAGTGTTAAGTTTACACTGTTAGTCCCCAGTGATCATACATGAATAAGAGACTTCACACACCAAGAGTTGTGAGTACAATCTTCTTTTAAAACTATACCAGTTTTAAAGAAAGTAAAGACAGCAATGAGCAAAAAAAAATTAGTAAATCAGTAAATTATCTAAAAGTTTAAGTCTATTTTAAGAAATGAAAGATGGAAACTATGAATTTTCTGGATCTTAACAGTATCTAAGTTACCTTCCTAGTTGTGATATTAACAAGTTTCTTAAACTGTAAAATAGCATGAATATTGGATAGGTTCACTAGCATTAGTCACACTTATATGCTGAGAAAACAAATGACCAAAGTACTTTCATTTTCACTTAGAATAAAATTATCTAATTTCCTCTGACCAATAATTATAGAAAATAGAGAACACAAGTGTTCAAGATCTTATGTGAATAGGAAGGGCTTACTGTTTTGCCTGCTTAAGAATTTAACTAATTGATCTTTCTAAAATATCAATATTCCAAAATAAAATTTAATGACATGACATCATCAGACCACCTGACTTAAGACTGAATAAACTTTCAACATAAATCCATAGCACCTCAAATCATGACAGAAAGTCATAACATGTTTCACACAGGAATCAACAAGCTGTCAAGAACAAACTGAAAGGATCTCAAAATATTCTCAACATAAAGTGCAAATTGAAGTTCACATAATACTTTCAAAAAGTGGGATCTATTTTGAGATTCTCTTTCAATTCTAAGAGTAACTATTTTATTTATTTTAAAACAAATTGCCATACAAAAACTTAAGTTTAGGGATTTTTTTCCCTCCAAATTTTTCTAAGCAAATAAATGACTTTGCTGTGGCACCACAAAGTACATACAAAAGCAGGCTTGCAACCAATACTCAGAACAAATCTAAAAGTGAGCAAGACCAAAGGGACAACTGAACCCTTCAATTTGATTTAAGCTATTGTACCTACAGCTCCCAAGGCAGCTTTTCTCCTGCCATCTAGGCCTGAGATTGTGGGTACAGTTCCAGTTCTACACAAAAATGGATACCAAGGGCATAAACTGACAGGCAGGCAGATCTTTTGACTGAAGAATCACAATGAGAGAGGACCAGATGAAAGCTGATGGAAAAATAGGGTTACTGAATTAAGGATAAAGCTCAGAAAAGGATCTTCTGAAGTATAGCTATTAATTGAGTAGGAACAAACGTATAGTTTTTGGTCATTTATCTTAGATTGAGACTAGATAGGGGCTGGGGTTGTGGCTCAGCGATAGAGCAATCACCTAGCACGTGCGAGGCCGTGGGTTCGGTCCTCAGCACCACATAAAAATGATATTGTGTCCATCTACAACTAAAAAATAAAAAATAAAGACTAGATAGCCCAAATTAAACTGTATCCCTAAATTCTATAGTTAGGATGTTTCCCTGATTAAAGGTAATAAAAAAATTACAACGAACTACTACTTCAAATGGAATTTTAAAAATTTCCCCACATGCGAGTTAAATCCCTAGCAATTCTGTTACTATCAGAGTCAAAAGTATATTTTGTATGTAGCTTTCTGCAAACATTGAAGTCAAAGGAAGAAACTGCATCCCAACTAAGATTAAAAGGACAGAACCAAAATATCTTGATAAACCTGTGACATAAGTTTCTATTTCTGGGCTGTAATTTACTTAAGGTTTTACTTACTCTAATTTACTGCCATTTTTGTTTAGGTGTGCCAACTTTTTAAAAACTGGGAATTAGTTTTGATATCCAAGATAAAACTTCTAGACCCTTCACCAAGTTTTACTATTAAAACCCTTAGTATAAAAGATTTCTGTGATCCTTACAAGTAATGGAAAGCCGACTACTCACTTTTTAAATTTATATTTTTTTGAAATATCAATGGTCAAGTATCCCACCTGCTAAAGAAAAATATAGTATGATCTGGTTTCCCAAAATTGAAATATGGTTAATAAAAATAAAAAATTCTATTTACACAAAATAGTCTGAAAAAATTAAAAAGAATGTTGAACCACAGGTCCTAAAGGGAGAGAAAAACTGCATCATAAATTCCAGTTCAAATTGAAATTTTAGAAATTTTTGTCCTGTGCCCCATGCTGTTTATTAATCACTGTTTTAAAAACAACAATTATGTTACAAAGAGGATTTATCATACACATTTCTTCTTCATTCAGGTCAGCTTGGCTTTCTTCTTACCAGGTCCTTTATGCCCTTTGGCCTTTCTTCTTAAATTCCGCCTATCTACTACAGGCACTTCCACTTCTATCTCCTCTGAGCTGCTATCCACAGCTTTTTCTGCTGATTGTGTAAACTGATCCAGTTGCTCAGAAGATGCTTCAGACTGCTCCTCTGACTGGTTCTTCTGTCCTGCATTCTGTGAAAATGGCACATCCTCAAGTTCAACCTCTATCAAAGAACTCTGAGAAAGAGCAGTAGATGTGTCCTGGGGCTCAGGCACCCCCTCCTCACCCTGGTCTTCAAGTGAGGAAGTAGTGTTGGGTGATAAATTCTCAGATACCGGTTCTTCAGAAAATTCAGCTATCACGGAGTTTGGAAAACCACTGTCAGATCGGTCTTCATTTGAGATACTGTCAACCTTGTCTGAACTTCCAAAATGTGCTTTCTTTCTTGAAACTGGAGACAGTTTCTCTTCGGTGTGCCCTTTGTCATCAGATGGGCCTTGGTCTATCAACATTTCTGTATCAGTTATATGTGGAGTCTGAAAACACAAAATTTGGTTTTTGTGTTTTGCAATATAGTTCAATATAGTTGCAAATCTTTTGCAATATAGTTCTAAAATGAATTATTTTCACATTAATCTGTAATGAACTACAACTTAAAAGAATTCAATATACATTATTTTTGTTAATCATCTGCATATTCCAAATACAATTTATTCAAAAATTGTTTCATAGTAATTTTAATACACTATTAGATATAATAATTATTTTACCTCAAAGAGTACTTATGACTTTTAAAAGTTTTTTTAATATCTTTATTTTTATTTGTTTTTTTTTTTTTTTCATATGGTGCTGAGGATCAAACCCAGGGCTTGACGCATGCAAGGCAAGTGCTCTACCACTGATCAACAACCCCAGCCTGACATTTTAAAATTTTATACCAAGATTCTGCAAAACCATGAATTACCTCCAAGAGTTTAGTCTCCTGGTGGTACTGGAGCCAGAACCAAGAACTGCTTAACACTATGCTACTCCACTAAATCTGATTATGGTTTCATTAGGTAAGGGCAATGTAAGTTTTATTCAGCAATTTAGTTGACAGACTAGTAAATCAGTGTAATATAATATTTTAGCCTTAAGTTAGAATATTTAAAAGTAAAAGAAATTTCTTTTCAAATACTACACCATGGTTTTTTTCCCACTAATCTATTCTGCCTCATTAAT